AAAAATAATAAAGTACTGGTAAGGAGATCTATCGGATAAATTTCTTATTATAAAAATGCGATCACTTATCACTGTGTAACTTATTTTGTACTTGGCATAAGTAGAAAGACATTTTTAAGGCAGGACATGAAAAATGAGCTATCGGTAGGTCTCTATTTTTCAGGCATTAAGCTGTAAATTTTGATTATATTTAACAAGTTAGAAATGTACACTACCGTTTCTAATCCCTATTGTGGCTCGCAAGAAGAAACAATTTGTATTTTTTAAGAGATATTTAGGGTGTTTTTTGTGCACAACTATAAGATCATATATACATCCATTTTTAGTCGGCCAAGATCTGAGATGTTGCAGAGAAATATTTATAAATCTCTAAATGATCTTAAATGTAGTAAGATCAGTAGGCACTAATCCCACTTGAGGAGTGAAGGACAAAACTGTGACAGAAAAATTATATCCTAGTGAGATCTTAGGGACAAAATCTTGCTCAATATCACATGAATGATTAGATTAAATTACTAACCGACAATTATGAAATCTGTTAAGAACTCCAATCAAAGATAACTCACTCCACAGATGCACAATTTAGTGGGGTTATTATTTCATTTTCATCCTTGCATAAGTAAAGGGCAAATGTACTTCAATGAAATTCAGAATCATTTGGTTTAGATGTGGCTATTGCTATAGCGTGATAATGATGATAGCTTTGGAATGTTTTAGGGCTATGTGACTTGAGCCATACTCCATATAATTTATTGGTTTAAATTAAAAGTAACACACCCACTAAGTGTGACGTTTGTTTAATTGGGCATTGATCAGTTAGTTTGCTTTGAAAGTTGATAATAAATACTTTAGGAGCATGAATTGTAGCATACCCCATAACTTTCCGACTTTGCTTCCCCTTTCCACCTCAACCCCACACATATAAAAACAAAAATGTGACTTATCTATTTACCAAAACAAAAATGTGGGTATTTGTTTGGGTTCACATTTCTATATTTTCTTAGAGGTTAAGATTCAAAAAGGATAGGGAGATAAATATATTGAATACAAAATTGTTGTGACTATCAAAACTTCCCTTTGATCAGCTCCAAGCTCTTTAATGGTTCTTCTGTTTAACATTTTCTTTGTTGTAATTTATACGTAATTCTATATATATAATACATGTGGACAGATTGTACACTTATGGTATCCGGATATAGTATTGGTCAACTTTTTCATGATTATTCTGAAAACAATAGCTAAAATTGACTACAAATATTGCATTGCCTTTTAGATTGTTTTTGGCTTTCAAATTTCAAAAATTGCTCTTTTGTGTATTTAGACTCCCTTACGGAAGAGTTTTTAAAATGTAACTTCTCAAAAAATCTCTTTTAATAAGACTTTAAAAACTTACTAGAGTTTCAATTTCCTTCTAGTATTTTTACTGTTTATTAGAAACTTTAAATATCATTTTTATTTATTTATGCTCTTCTAAAAATGTGATTTCAAACACGTGCCGACAAGCTACAACTTTTATTTTTCCTTTTAAAAAAAAAAAAAATTGACTAGAAGCATAAACAAAAACAATACCGATCAAACACAACCCCTCCAAAACCATAACAACCTTTGTAATATGAAAATGTTAAAGCAAGTAACAATCTCAAAACTTCAGTCTTGTTTGTTCACCCCCAAAAAGAGAGAAGGATTTATTACTTGTTTGCTGTAACACAACCGTTTCCTTAAATGACTTCTCCGACCACTAGTATGTAATAAATTTTGTAACTGTTGAATGACATATAAAGTTGGCGAAACTCCACACTTATATATATACATTGGTGACACTTCTTTATTTGTCAACTTGCAAAAGTTTCTCAAATAAGAAAGAGAATTCCAATTCAGGGTAAAGCAGAAGAGTCTTCAAAGCATCTAATTCTCATTTACATTATGATGGTTATGATTTTGGATTTTAGAGAGAACTGATTGACGTCAGAAATTGAGCTCCAAACATTGAAAAAGTTTTTGAAGAGAAGAGTTATATTAGTGAAAAAGGTTGGTGAAACAGATTATATTGGAGGGTACTTTTTCTCTGGCATGTTTGCTTTTATTCTTTTGAAAATGGCTTATTTTTCTCTTATGAATTAAGAGTTAAGCTTAATCAAAGCATATATATGATCTGAATCTGTTAGTTTAGTGTTGTTAGGCTTCACTTCACTATTTTCAGCTGTCACGGCTGATCATGTCTTGGTCAGTGTGTGTGTGTGTGTGTGTATAGAGTAAGCTCAACAGTAGCTCTCTCTCTCTCTGCAGCCTTCCATTTTTTTAGAGTTGTTCTTTTTCCTGGTTAGGCTAATTAATAATTAGATCTAGAAAGTTGGGGTCTTGAAGAATATTGATTAAGATACTTATCATTTGATATTAGTCAAAAATGATGTATTACCTTGATTCAATACTTTCTAAAAAAATTAATAATAAAAAAAAAGGAAAAAAGACCCATCAAAGGATAGATTATCTGATAGGTAAAGTTGTCATTTACTGATTGGGGGATAGTAGATGCTGAAGAGAAATAACAATGCTGAACTGGGAAGTGATTCTTTTTACAAGATAACAACACAATTCTTCATTTACCAATACATACATATATATATATATATATATATATATATATATAACAACGCAATATTATTGGTAGACTTTTGTTGCACTCGCATCAACCAATATGTTCCATTTAGACCAGTGGAAAATTTTTAGATGAGGATATGACGTTTAAGGCCTTTTCACTCAAATGTCCGTTTGGGTTGATGGGAAATCTAAACAACTGTCATAATGGAGGCTCATGCTTCCTCTTAAATAGATGCATGTGCATGGAATGAATTTCTGGTATTACTTTCTCTCAACCCTTTTTAAACTCTTCAACCAATCTTCGCAAGATGGGCAAAATGAAGAGAGATTGAGCTTCTCGTTCATGGTATAACTAAAAGATCTACTAAAAGTGTCCATTATTCGGTTTTTGCAGACTTTTGGAATTGAATGTGATTTTGTGTACCTATGTTATAGCAGAATCAAACAACACGTAAACTTATGAAAATTCTGTTCAATGAAAGCCTTCAAGAAAATTTTATTTTAAAATAGATGTATTTTTTTTAACAATAAAGTACAATTCTGAACTTTGTTCCATAGATTATTTTTTAATACTCTAACAGTTACAATAGAATTCTCAGGTTTAAAAAAAAAGAAAAAAGCTTTGCCGACCAACCTACCATGCATTGGCCCAGCTATAAATGAAATTGTTATGCTGAGAGTCCAACCTAATTTTTAGTGGTCTTGGATGAATTAGAGGAATACTTCTTCTTATAGAGTTGAGTATTAAATAATTAACGCGCAAAAATGGTACGGATGAATAACTAGACAAAAGGGGCTTAAACGATTTGTGAGCACCAAGTTCCCAATAGGTCTGGGGTCTGGGTCCAAAGAAAATGAAAGAATAGGCAAAGACTCTCACAAAGGGAATTAATACTGTGGTTTTCTGGGGCTATCAGCAGAAAGAGAATTCGTACGGTGTCTCAAGACCAGTTTGAGTACGGACGGGGTCACCTCATACTCATAAAGATTACAAACAGCCAAAGACGAGCAATCACTCAAAATGTAGAAAAACAATGATAACTCTAACTCTGATGTCCGTTTGATCTTACATTGCAGATTTGCAGGCGATTATTTGGCCCAATTCTAATGCATAATGGGAGGATATGGGAACTCTTATTGCGCTCTTGAAAACTTTCAGAGCACATTCTCGGGAACTGTTTAATTGCTCTCTCAATGAAAGTTGATGCAGCAGACTGGAGAGTAAATTTTATTGGCAACCCAGACCGAGGATTGAACTTAAAAAGTACCCAAATCCACTTTTAACAAAACCAAAGGGGAAAAACCCCTAAAATAGAGAAAACACTCCCTCAAATTCATGGCCCCGTTTAGGTCAGTAATTTTTATTTTGAATTTCAAATTTTGTAAAAAAATCCATTAACGGGATTTATTTTTTCTTAAATTTTTTGTGAGAGAAAAATACTATAACAGAATCAAAATCATGAGTTCAAACGCATAAAACAAAAGAGCCCCAATATTTTAATACTCAAATCTAACTATTACAATAGCTAGTGTTGCTTTATAGTTCACACTAAACTAAGCTAAATTACTAAACTAAAACAAACGAAAATAAAAAAAAATAAAAAATAAAAAGGACTAATATAGCGAAGATCCCCTACATCAGAAGTTCACCTTTTCTTTTTGCTAACAGCACCAGCCACCAAGATGAAAATTACATTGGTTTGCAAACGCAAATTTTATTAGATAACATCCGACAAGCCGTTTGAATCTCATAAAATTTGCAAATTGATAAATCCAGGCATGGTTGCTTGTATTACGCATGATAATTCATCTTGATCTCTTACAAATCACTTGTTATCACTTTCTAGATCTCTGTGTTGGACTAATAACTAACTACTGGATCAATGGAAACCCAATAATTAACTAGCACATCAAAAGCTAAATTATTCAGAGCTCTAATTTGGTGACTGCTATTACTTGCAGCCAAAATGAGCATCAGATTCCTGAGCTTTGGCAAAACGAAAGGCTAGACTCACGGAGCATATTTGGAAAAGAGGGTAAGCGGGAGGGGGAGGGATAAGAAGATTAGTACGAAAATTTTGAGATCAATGATCGTTTGATAGAAATGAAAAGAAAAGAGAATGGATTAGATGCGGCATTTCAAAATCCTCCAAAGAACCCAAATTTTAATCTCTCCCAACATGAAGATATTAGAAGAGATTATTCATACCAAATGCAATACGATATATATATGCATCTACCTTTCTATTTTTCTCACTTGGGCTTATATCCCTTTCTTCCCTTTCCTATTTTCTTTCCCAGCCACAAGATGGTCTAATCACTTTAAAATAAAGTGCGATGATACCAGCATAGCACGATTAAACTCGGTCTGATATATGTCACGGTGATTAAGGCACAGAGAAGAGCCGAAACAATGTATATGCAGATAAATTTACTTAATCCATTAAGTCCACACTAAAAAAATTCCAAAATCAATTCATTCTCAACGACAAATCAAACTAAAGCATAAAAACAAAACATTTTCTCAAAAGATAATCTAGAAACGGAAATCACTAATCAATCACGCTTTTGGCCAAAACACCCGCTCCCAGAACGAAAGTTAATCATTTAGCGGTACTGCAAACAAAAGATGTACAAAAATGAGCATAGAGTAAGTATATCAGTTAATGAAAAAACGTTAAATTGGCAAGGAGACATTAAATGTTTACCTTAATGAAGCCAATCTCCTTGGCGTTGCTGCGGAAGCACTGTCTGCAGCACATCAGACCGTACTTCCGGATCAATCCGTGTGGGTTTCCACACACGCGACTGTCAGTTGAAAGAAATGACAAAAATTAAAAATACAGAACCTGCAAATTACTTTTAATCTCTACAAAGAACCATGAACACAGGGTAAACCATGAACTAGGATTACCATTGCAGTACAAAGAAACAATAATCTTAACCTTCAGCTACAAAAGGCATTTCCTTAAACTTTCAACAAAAAGCTCTAAACATCCACCAAAAAAAAAAAACTAAAAAAAACTTGCCAACCTAAAAATCTCAGTTCTTTCTAAGCAGTAAGCACTCTTTACAGTTAGAACTTTAGTCCGCGGAAACCTCTCCTTAAAACTAACATTAACATTGGAATACAAAGAAGCTAAAACCTTTAGCAATTAACATAAACTTTTAAAACTTTCAAGGAATAAGCTCAAAACATATACAAACAGAACAAAGATTATCGACCTTGGCACACGGGGCTAATGCCATAAATCAGGACTAACATTGCAGCACAAGAGGCTAAAACCTTTAGCTATAAAAAGTAATTTCTTCAAACTTTCAAAGCACAAACTTCAAAGAACCAAAATACAGAGACTAACATTTCCAATAAAAAATTCCAGATAAAATTTCCAAGCACAATTTTTCCAAATCTTTACAAAAATCATAGCAGATTCATCAGTTTATTATATAAAAAAAACAAAAGTCCACCACGGAACTAGGAGCATCGTCGCCGTACAACGAAGCTGAAAACTTTAGCTATAATGGAAATTTAATTCAAGGAATAAGCTCTAAACATCAACAAACATTATCCACAAAAAACTCTTCTCTTCCCAAATCCTCATCAAAGTCGGAGCAAATCAAATAAGATAAAAAAACGCAAAAATTCATATCAAGATTCGATTTCATCTAAAGGGAGATTTTGAGAGAGAAAAAAAGCGATTTACCAGGCGCGAGAACCGGGGCCGTAGTTCTTGGGGTGAGAGTTCCAAACGTTGGAGTGTCCCATGATTCGCTGCGGCAGCACAAAATGGAGAAAAAGAGAAGGCTTTTGTGCGGAGAAAGAAGCTCGAGCAGTCGCAGAGAATACCAGAGAACGAAAAGGCTGAGAAAATCTTGTATTTATATATGGGATGGTCAAGAACCCTAGTTTGACAGTCTAGACAATGAGCGCATTGCCACTCGTGAATATGGGTCGGACTTTGGAGCTTGAGATGGGTATTTACCCGATTTAAATTATTATCGTTCATTATTACAATTATCAAATTAAGATAAGATATATGAATCCTCACAAAATAAAAATTATTTTAAATATAACATTTTGAAAACCATTTGAAATTACAAATTTTAACTTTACATTTTCATAAATTACAAAACGTTTCTCCACTAAGTGTCAATTTTATTAAAATCCCTCTAATTTGATAGCATGCACTTCACTTTAGGGTCATAAAATTATGGAAATTTTAAATTTAACATTACTAATTTATTTGAGTAGTGCTAGGATTCAACTCTTGTGTACCAACTATTAATTAATGTGGTATGTGAGTTGTCATCTTTTTATTAGTAAATGTAATCTTGTATCATTAATTAACGTGACAATATTTTAAACACCGACTAATGTAAAAATGACAACTCATAAGCCATATCAATTGATACATAAAAATTAGATTTGAGTTGGTATCCTTAGCATTATTCTTGTTATGGTAATCCCTTATATTACTCAAAGATGACACTCATGTTTTTTTTTTTTTTAACATAAGATTTGGGGGAATTTTTAAAGGATTTGTGATCTAGACTATTTTAGAAGGATATCATTTCCAATTTGCCCCTAGTATGGTAATCCCTTATATTACTCAAAGATGCACTCATGTTCATTTTTTTTAGCATAAAAATGAAAAGAATTTTTTAAAGAATTTGTGATCTAGACTATTTTAGAGTAATATCATTTTCAGTTTGCCCTTTAAATTTTTAAAACTCTTAATTTATCTCTTAAATTTTAAATTAGTCCTATTTAAATCATTTTGTAAGAATTTCTATTAAAATCAAATCGAGACAAAGAATTAAGTGTAGCCATATAGTGCCTGTTTGTTACCGTTTTCAATCTCATTTTTCACGTTTTTCGAAGTAAAAAATTGAAAACGATACTAAGAAACGCGTTTGGCGAAGTTTGTTCTATAAAACAAAAACAAAACTGTTTTTGTCGTTTTGTGGAATTCTGAAAACGAAAAAAACCTGTTTTCATTTTCTGGTTTTTATTTTCATTTTTCTTCTTTCTTCAGCCTCCCGCTATCTCTTCCTTTCTGATTTTTTCTGCCCTTTTTCAGCCGAGCCCTTCTTCCCGGCCGAGCCCCGCCGTTCTTCTCGCCCGTTTCGCCTGACTTGCGCCGTTTTGCTTCTCACCCGAGCTCCTCCGTTCTGTTCTCGCCTGAGCTCCTCCGGTCTCTTTTTGCCCGATCTGCCCCATTCTCATCTCGCCGTTTTCTCCCCGAGGTATGCCCCTAGCCAAAAATGTTTGATGGTGTTTGATGGTTTTCCGTTTGATTTGGTTGAGCATTTCTTTCTGATTTTTTTTTTCCGTTTTGGCCCCGTTCTCGTCTCGCCGTTTGATTTGCTATATTCAACCAAATTGGTTGATAGTTTTCCGTTTGATTTGGTGTTGTTTTGTTTCTAATTTTGATATGCTTGATCTGATTTGGTGATTTTTTTCCCCTGGAGGCCCCCGTTGGGGCTGATACAACCCCTGGGGGCCTCCCATTGTGGCTGTATCAGCCCCTAGGAGGCCTCCCCGTTGGGGCTAAATCAGCCCCTGGGGGCCTCCCATTGGGGCTGGCCTGGGAGGCCCCCAACGGGGGCTGGTAATCAGCCCCCATCAGCCCCAACGGGGGCCTCCCAGGGGCTGATTCAGCCCCAATGGGAAGCCCTCATTGGGGCTGTATCAGCCCCTGCGTGTGTGTGTATATACTTTACAAATTGACATCTATTTTAATGATGAAAGTGTTATTTTAGATGTGTGATAAGGACGATAATACGAAATAGCCGGCCGTAATTGAGGATTTTTATGTAGAACTGATATACGAAGAGTCAAAGACTGAGATGCAAACATCCACTCTGGACAAAAAAACGTGGATGAAAATTGCTAATGAAATAGCACTTAAGTTTGGTAAGCATTTCACATCAGACCAGCTTAAAGCAAAGTGGAATAGGCTTAGACGTAGCACGAGGGAGTTTAAGGCATTAATTGAAACAACAGGGTTTGGTTGGGATTCTGAGGCTAACACTGTCACGGCTAAAAAAGAAGTATGGGATTCATATGTGGCGGTAAGTTTTGAGCATTAACATCTTATGTTATATGAAAGAGTTGAATTGGTGTTTGGATTGCACATGAGTATTTACTCTTGTTTTCTTTATAATGTCATAAACATCCTGAGGTTAAGAAATTCAAGAAAGGGGGTTTGCAGAACTTTGCCCAACTTTCAAAGATTTTTTTTGGAACTATTCCTACTGGACAGGGGTCAATGAATGCACATACTGTTGGGAATAGTGTCATAGATGCATAAGATGCGGCCACAATACCGGAAGAGGTGGAGGAGGTATGAAGAGTCAAAGACTGGGATGCAAACATCCACTCTGGACAAAAAAACGTGGATGCAAATTGCTAATGAAATAGCACTTAAGTTTGGTAAGCATTTCACATCATACCAGCTTAAAGCAAAGTGGAATAGGCTTAGACGTAGCACGAGGGAGTTTAAGGCATTAATTGAAACAACAGGGTTTGGTTGGGATTCTGAGGCTAACACTGTCACAGCTAAAAAAGAAGTATAGGATTCATATGTAGCGGTAAGTTTTGAGCATTAACATCTTATGTTATATGAAAGAGTTGAATTGGTGTTTGGATTGCACATGAGTATTTACTCTTGTTTTCTTTATAATGTCAGAAACGTCCTGAGGTTAAGAAATTCAAGAAAGGGGGTTTGCAGAACTTTGCCCAACTTTCACAGATTTTTTTTGGAACTATTCCTACTGGACAGGGGTCAATGAATGCACATACTGTTGGGAATAGTGTCCTAGAAGCATAAGATGTAATATGATATTTGTTATTTAATTAATAAAAGAGTTTATTCATCATTTTATGTGCATATATTTATGAATATTTTATGAATATCAAATGAAAATTCCGTGATTATTTATGTAACCTTAAACATAGTATATAAGTGTTATATACAAGAGGATAGTGTTTAAGGATAATAAAAAAAAAACATTGTTAATAATAATTTAATTAAAGTTCAGAATCTTTAATTAAAACATTATTAATGCATGTCATTCCCATTTAGAATGGAACGGTGCTATCCGCACTGTTAATATGGTGAGATATTGAATGAGTGTATTTCGCATAATGAGATTGTGTGGAACATAGATACAGACACAATATGAATTTCTAATAATTTTTGTTAAGCATAGAAATTCTAATTGAGTCTACCGATGGTCATATATAGAATGATCTTAATCGTGAGTTCTTAACAAACTTCTATTTATGAATTTATGTCTTTTGATTTACTCAGTACGGATTCTGAGACCCTGAATCCTATTCCTTGTATTTTGAAGACATGACGAAATATGTAGCCAGGAATGTTATTATACGAGATGAAATCCATTCCTTTTTGAGAA